CCAGGAGCCTTGTTAAAAATGCAGATCCTGATTTCTTAGGTCTGGGCTGCAGCCTGAGGGGCCCACACCTTTAACAAGCTCCCATGTGCCACCGTCGCTGCTGGTTCTGGGGCCACACTTTGACCATTGAGGCAGCAGAGCACTGTTTCCCTCTCTCCCCTCAGGTTTTGTCTTTCTCACTCGTGGTCTGTGTTTCATCAGTTACTGGCTTGGTGGCACATCTTCCTTGTTCATGTAGAAGCCATCTCTAGTTCCCCTTCTATGGGCCACCCGTACATGTCCCTTGGCTGCCTTTCTTACAGGTCTGTATGGGCTCCTAGAAAGTCACCTGCATGGGCAGCTGCTGTGTCCTGAGACAGGATCCGCCTGAGCTGGTCCTGGTGGGAAAGCAGCACGTGGCCCGCCTTCAGGATTCACAGCGTCAGCTCTGGCCCCTCAGCAGGCCCAGGTGTCCTTGTCCTGGGGGAGAAAAGGCCTCAGCAGGGAGGGAACAGGCTCTCCCCTCAGCAAGGGTCGGCCTTGGGGATGGCGCTGCCCCGAGGGACTGATCTGACTTTGCAAAGCCTGGCAGTGATGAAGGGCTTGCCCTTCCCTGGGCTGTGGGTGAGCATCCTCCTCTGCCCTGAGGTCTTCCCTGCCATGTGCTGCCTCGAGTCAGGTGAAGATTCAATGGTTTAAACACAGTTAGGGCCATGTTAGCTACTGCTAGTATGATCAGGTGTTCCCCAAGTCACTGAAATTTCACCCAGACACCTATGGCATAAATAACATACTTTCATCTTTTCTTGCCAAGACTCCTACAACACAATTTTGTCAGATACTCAGGACATACAGTTCTCTAACATAAAGATAATGGCACTCTGTAGGATTGCTAGAGCAGGCAGATAGCTAGATATGAGCAGAGAAAGGGGGACCCGGGCCAAATGGCAAGAACTGAGCAGAAACGAGGGGCATGGGGCCAAATGCAGGAAACCCTACATCATGTAAGCACCAGGGGTCCCTGGGTAGAAAAGAAAGGCAGGAACTTCTGGGCTGAAAAGCACTCTCACACTTTGGAGTGACAAGCAGCCTGAAGGCTGACAAAGAAAGGTGGGAAAAGGCAGCAATCTCGTGTCCCAATGTAACCATTTACTCATTGTGCCCTCATTTCCAAAAAATTGGCCTTGTAGATTACAAGTACCCATCATGAACCAATGCCATGACACTTCCAATCCAGACTAAAAAAGGACAGAAATTCTTCCTCCCTTCGAGAAGGTGGAGTTGGGATGAAACCAGGATATATGACCCCAAACCCTTCACTTCCTAATGAATATTCTGCCTGATCATTTGTACTGTATGTAACCAACTTGCCAAAGAAACTCAGCACAGCCGCTCACCTGAGCCCGCCCACTCTCCCCTTGAGAGTCTGCTGTCCTTGCCTTAGTAAATCCTCACTTTACTTTCTTAACTGCCATGTCTCATCTGAATTCTTTCTGGAATGGTTCAAAAACCAGCATGCCAGTTACATCTACTGGCAACAGGATCTTATCTAATCAAATGGCTGCAGTGATGTCCACGGGCCAACTGAGGAACAGAGGAGGGAAGCTGCCACAAAGACGCAGGCACAACAAGGAGAGCCAGGCCAGTCACAGCAGCAGCATCCAGAGCAGGAGATGCCAGAGGCCACAGCAGGCAGCATGGGGACATGGGGACTGGGGACATGGGGACAGGAGGGCATGGAGGAGCCAGAAGTGCCACTGGGGCACCGAGCTCTAATACCCAGCAGATGGTTATTCACTGTGACAGGAAACATGGCTAAGGGACAAGGTTAGCTGAACTGTGGACATGCTGTGGTTTACATGCACCTGGCCCTCCAGCTAGAGATGAGAACTAGAGAGACATCATAAGTGCTGCAGCAGGAATTACAGGACTTGGGAGAAATGGGTGAGGAAACTCAAGAAGAGTGGGCAGAACGAGCCACAAGTGATGGATGCAACCACAAGGATTTCTAATGTGCAAAGACTAGTCAGGGAGAAGAATTCTGAAAGGACACAGGAGGGGCAACGTTAGGGAAATGGAAGCCAGAACCCCAGACCAAAGGCAGAGCCAGAGGAGCGCCGGCCTTGGTCTCAGACAGGTGGCCACGGTCCACAGACACAAAGCGAGGCAGGTCCAGGCACACAGGTCCTGCTGGGTCTGGCTGTGATGAGACCCAGAGCAACACTCAAGAAAGGCGACTAGGCTGGAGGGTCTCAGCTGGGGGGGTCAATGTACAGGGAGAGAACACAGACTTCTCTTCAAAAAGCGTGTTCAGAATAAACGCTGGCACCGGGAGGTGGGGAGGCCTGGGGGTTCTCTGGGTGCCACCTCCACCACGGCATCATCTTGGTGTCACACACACTCATCACCATGCCCGCTGTCACTCAGCCATTGGTCAGTCCATCTGAACCCAAAGACTTCAGCAGTGACAGACCTGCTCTGACAAAACAAGACGTTGTTCAAACAATTCTAGTTAAAACTGTAGCTCTCTTTCATCAACAAGTGTATGTACCGACCTGCAAAACTCTGTTTAGGTCATTTCTTTATTTTGTGCTTTTCCAATTTGCTGCCAGCGAGGTTCACCAACTGAGCCCAGACGAAGAGCATGGGCTCTGTGAAGCGCAAGTCGGTGCCACTGAACGCAGGGCGGGGAGCTGAAGATGGAGTGCAGGAGCTTTCAATGTGTGTCCAGTGAGCAGAGCACATGGATGTTCTGGAAGCTGTCAGAGCCGCAAATCTTAATTCGGAAACACCACATGTAGATGTAAGTCTTTTTACATCTGAAAATAATGTTAAAAGATGACACTGGAGGCAAGACAAAGACTTACATGCACAGTAAATAGAAACTAAATTTTTTTCTTTACCAACGTGTCAGCAATAATTACATCATGGTAGTGGTTACTAAATTTTTAGGTATTATCTACAACATGTACATATTCCTGTAATTATCAAAAACAGTATTTTATTGAAAGATATGGTCAGGTCTTAGTTGGGTTACATCAAAGTAATATAAATCACTTTCTCTATGTATCCCTAATTCACAGGTTTAACATGACACCAGCTGCCACACAAACCATGTCACTCAACATGATTATTATGGATCTTGTACATGAAGAAAAGCTCATTTAAGGGAATCATTTTCAGGGTTTTTTTGAAAGTTGAGCTGTTCAATAAGAAATAAATTTTATTAATTCACAGTTTAAAAATAATGAGAACTAACATATTTCCACAGTACCTTCTAAGTAGCTAATGCCCTTTCATGTCTTTTTCAGGCTAAAATAAGACAAATGAGCTACTAATCTATGTAATCCTGTGAGATAGGTCCCATTCACCACTGGAGCATGAGAGGAAAAAGAAAGGCAGACATACTTCCTGAATTTGGATGACATCCTAGAAGGTAGACATAAACAGCCAGAATCAAGTTCTTCCCACTTCACCCAGGAACTGAACACAGGTTCACTACTGGCTTCAGTTGGTTCAGGGGGCACACACGACAGGTGCACATGTCACAGAGCTGCATGGTGATCCTGCCCTTCAGGGTGATGGGAGTCACAGTGCCTACTCCAAACTCCTTGTGCATGACTAGTCCTTCCAGGTGCAACCAACTGTCAGTGTCTCCGCCCACAGCCAGGACCGCCATGAAGCCCCCCACTCTGAGTCCTCAGAGTCAGGAAACTAGCCCTCCCACAGGGCCTAGCACAGACAGACAGCAACCTTGGGGAGCGGAGTCGAGGGTGCTGCCTGCTTCTTACACTTAAAATAAAGCGGAATTCATTTCTAGGTTAGTTCCTTCATCCTTTTTTTCTGGGAACAAAGTACTTAAAAATATATATTTGAATAAAATGCAGTGTTTAAGGGGAGAAGGTAGAGCTAAAGTGCGTGAGCACATGCTTGGCACGCACAAGGTCCTGGGTTCAATCCCCAGGACTTCCATCGAAAAACAAAATAAAGAAACCTAATTACATACCTCCTGAAAAAAAAACCATAAAACCCCCAAAATAAACAGAGACTTTAAAAAGGGAATTTCAAAGGAAAATCAACATCCTACAGGGAAACCCCAGCAGAGGTGAAAGGCATGCGGCCCCCACAGCCTCAGCTGGCTTCCTGGCACCCCTGCCTGCTGGGGAGACTGCCAGAGCCAGGCGGTGCTGCTGGGCGCCCACCTTCTACAAAGAAGCACTCGGCACAACCTTTGCTTTTAATTGACCTCCATCACGTTATTTTCAAGGAGAAACTACTTCACCGCTATGTTACAATTTCACTGACTCAGTGGGAGAGGAACAGGAGACTTTTGAATCAGCTCAAAGGACTTTCTTTTGTCTTTTTGTTTTTTTGTGTGAGGGGAAGTAATTACATTGATATATAAAATAAAAATATGGAGGTACTGGGGATTAAACCCTGGACTTTGTGCATGCTAGGCACCCACTCTACCACTGAGCTCTACCCTCCCAAGGTGCACTTTACATATTAAAAATCTCTAAAGCACATGTAGCAACTCAAACTCTTTAAGGAATTTCATCCACTCACCCTTCCTGTGCAGTAGGGAGACAACTCACAATTCCAACAGCAGTTCTCTGTGAGGGAACATCCTGCTGGTTTGAAATCTCACGTTTTAAACATCCTCCATGAGCTCATTCATATTTAATCTGTGTCCTAAATTCCCAGGCCAAGGCTAAGAAGTCTGCAAAGCAGAATGAGAGTAACAGGTTTCCATGAGGTTTATCAAACTTGACTCTGACCTGACCATGACCCTGTCTGCTCCTCCC